CACTCTTAATTAGAAATCATTTATTCAAAATCATGCTTCAATTGCCAAACTTAGTTTTAATTCATTTTCTCCATAACAAGCCAAATTCCAAACCCAAAGTGATTAACCTCTAAATTAATCTCCATAAATTGAACATGGCTCCAATCTCTCATTTTCTTTTTAGTTACATAAAATTGACTCCAAGCTCTTCCTATTTTCCTTCAAAGCATGAAATTAAAGTCATAAATTCTTTAGAAAATTATTCACATGTATGAAATTGACATCAAAATTTCTAATTTTATATTCTTATAAATTTTCCAATTAATTTCCATAATCTTAAACTTAATTTGTAACCTCAACTTAATTCATAATCATAGATGTTCCAAAATATGTTTAATTTAAATAAAATCTCAAATTACATTACATGCATGGATTAAAAATCTAATTACAAAATCAAAACTTTATCTAACATTAGGATTAATTCTAAATTTCCATTAACTTGATGTTTATAAAACATTTCCCTTTTCTCATCAAAATATGAACTTAAATGGCTCAATTCTTCAAAATTCATGATGCATGTTGTAATTAGAATATTAATTTGCCCATGCATGTAACAATGAGGCTTAATCTTATGCAAGACTACAAAATCATACCCAAAATAATTAATTTCTAATTTATTTTTCATAATCACCCACATGCATGTAACCCATTTCATGTTTAGAACCCAATTCCAAATTAACTTTCATAATCTTATACTTAAGTTAATTTTTCTTCGTCTTCTTGTTATTGATTCCAACTTGGTATGAAATTGAACCCAAATCTTTTTTTATTTTAATTGCTGGATGATTTATCTACAAAATTTAAGTTTCAATACCTTACTTGGAGTCTTAATTTGTTGAATTTCTTGTCGAGCTTTGAGTCTCTCTTTTCTTCCTTTCACTTTCCAAACTTTTTCCTTGGCCTTTCTTTAGTTAAATTTTCTTTCCTTCTTTTATTCCCAGCAGTCAACACACACACACACACCCACTCTCTCTCTCTCTCTCTCTCTCTCGGCTGATCTTCCTCTCTTTTTTTTTTTCCTTCAAATGTTGTTTTGAGCCTAATGAAACTATACACTTTCTTGAACTCATATATTAATATATTTATATAAATATTATTTGTTGCCTTCACCTTACACGTCCGCACGCACACACGTCACAACCAGATTTTTCAGTACACCCACCTAAATTTCTCAGTGCACCCACACCCACAATGCTAGTTTATTCCATAAGACAATTTATGCTTAGGATTAATTTTAATTAAGCAATACTTAGTCTTAATAAATCTTGGTTAGCACGTAATTAATTAATCATAACTAATCATAAATCTTACATAATTTAATTAGTTTAATTTGACTTCCATTAAGACCCAATTAATTTTATTTAATTTTATCAATCCAAATCAGATTTTTAGTCAGACTTCTAAAAGGCTCCAAATGTGAAATTAAACTTATTTTCATCTTCAATTCTGGTTTCTTAAATCATTTAAGCCTTCAATTTCTGATCAGATTCAAAATTTCGTCAATAATTTACATATTCAAATTAGGTACTTCATAAATGAATTTAATTCGTAATCATCTTAATTCTCAATCTTCATAGCTTATTTACTCCGATTCGGACCCAATTAATAAAATCTCAATTTTACTAAACCAAATAGATTATTTAATTAAACTCCCATATGGTCCGATATTCATGGTTAAGATAATTCAATTTACCAAATATACTCTCTTGAACCATTAGGCTTTCAATTTCAAATTCCAACATAAATCCTTAATAAAATCATATACAAATCAATCTCCATTATTTTTATATATCTCGGATGAAATCAGGGTAATAGGCAATTAAATTCAAATCTCTTTGATTAATTAAATGCTAATTATTATACGTGGTAGGGTCGTTACATTTAGCCTTCTCAATTCTTATAGAACCAGTCCAACTCGCATTCTAGGCTTGATTAGTGGTGATTAGTTAAAGCTAATCAAATGGACATTAGATTATTCTAATTTAATTGTTCCAAATCGAATTTTAATTAAACTTACCATAAAATTCTAAATAACACAGAAACCAAGTCAATTTCATGATCGGATGTCGACAAGGCCTTCAATTCGTCGAACAAATCAGAAATACAAACAGATATTTCTACGATAGACAGATATAATCACAAATAATGCAATGCACATGTAATTAATTCAGAATTTCATCTTAATTACTTATTGGGAATTCTTACTCATATGTTGTAAGCTAAGCACGGGTTGGGGTTGTTACACCTACCAAAATAGTGACCGAGACCCATCTATATTTTATTCAAAGTTTGCTAAAACAATTGATAATAAAGAACATGCAACAACATGCAGATAAAGTGGAATACATAAAGAAAATACACTTCATTGAGATAGGTTCCTTTTGGCTTTGAACTTTATATTGTAAAAACCTATCGGACTTGCTGGCTAATTAGTATGTGATGCCTTAAATTGTTCAGTTGTTGGTGTAAGCCAAGACAATAGACTAAACACAGAGTATCTCCAAACATAGTTTATTTCTCACAGTTGTGTTCATTTTGGCCTTGAACAACAACTGGTAATTCATGAGTGCCCTACAGAATTTAGCCTTCTCAATTCTTATAGAACCAGTTTAGCTCACATTTATATAGGTGACTTCTTAATAAGAGTATTCAACTATATCCCACTTGGATGTCCAATACATAAGTAATCATTAAAAAGAAAGCTTATCCTACTAACGTTGTAGGTTTAACTCTTCTTATCATAAAAATAGGTAGGAGAGAATTTTCTTAATGACATAAGAAGTCATCTATAATTCGGTTGTCTCTTTAAACCTAGATTTGGGATCTCCAATCGGCTAAGTTGGTTTCTACAAATACACATAGATCCGTTGATTTCTACACCCTAGTCCCTTTGATAAAAAAAAAGAGCACATCGAGAGCTTCCTCTTAATTGAAACAAAGTTGATTTTCCTTGTCTTTGAGGTTCCTCCACTCTCTCTCTCTCATCTTTTAAGCTTGAGGTAGGTATTTCTCCGCACTTTCTTATGATTTTTAACTTAGCTATTTGTTTTTATAAGACCACATTGTAAAAAAGGAGATTTTTGAACAATTTAGGGTTTTGGCTTGAAATAAAAAAGAAGGGTTTTCAAATGGGTTGTTAGAAATGATTGGGGAAATGTATTTATTATTGAGTTATAATGAAATGATGGATTTCTATCTTTGAAATTGATTTATAAAGGAAATGAGATTTTGCCCTAAGAATATAAAATGTTGATTTAGTAATGATAAATGGAAATGATGTTGGAAATGTGGAATTGGATTGATGTTGATGATGATGGCGGAGTTAGATATGCATTATTACTCCCATCTTGAGATTTTCGAAAAGTCTATCTTTATGAAAATTATTTATCTGTTTAGAGATATCTGTTTTAGGCTATTGGTGGAGGATAGCTATGATTATTGTAGAAATTACATGAGAATTAGATGAATCTAAACTAATTTCTCATCCATTTACATTGAACAGTGTCGCATCTTTAACACATTGAAAGTGTATATTATTTGAGAAAAATGGGTCTGGGTAGGAGTGTAATTGTGGTATTATGTTGGATTATGTGTCATTGGTGAAAGTCCAGAAACCCTTGCAGTTTGGTGTCGAGCCTCCCGGTTAATACCAGTAAAAATGACAAATTGGTAGTGCTTGTAGCCTACTTGCAGACACGTCCTAGAGATTTTCAGTGTTGTATTTATTGTCTTGTTTTCTATTGAAAAGGAAATGATTCCATGAATTATGTTATAATTTGGCATTGCATGGTTTTGGAAAAAGATATAAAATGTTTTCGGCACGAGCACTGCACATGCATTCACCTTATATCTTTGTTAAGATTCATAAACTGTGTGGTAGTATCTCTACTGATCTTTGGCTCATCCTATGTGAGAAAACCATTTTCAGATGTAGATGATATGCCTTTGCCAAGGCAATAACTTGGGATGACTCGGGACCGAAGGCTTCTTTTGTGTATTGTTGTATTTAGGGCCACTACTACAAAAATAGTTAACGATCATACTTTGACAAATGAAAATATCTCACTTTTATTGGAAGTGTGATAAAAAAAATTAGATTTATATTTTAATTACACTTGATTTGATTGAGTGTGATAATATTTATTTCTATATCACTTTTCAATTAAGTGTGATTATATATATATTTTTTAATCACACATTCTAATTAACATGTGATTATATTTATTTTTTATGTCACTTTTCAATTAAATGTCATATCTTTTTTTTTAACCACACATTCTACTTAACGTGTGATTATATATACACTACTACAATAATATATTTACTTTTAATCAGATTTTTTAAACATGGTGATGCTAGGGGCCTCGAATTGTCGAGGCTTGAATGCCTCGACAATTCCTGGCTTTTTTTTTTTTTTCAATCACCTTCTAATTAACGTGTGATTATATATACATTACTACAATAATATATTTACTTTTAATCAGCTTTTTTAAACACAGTGATGCTAGGGGCCTTGAATTGTCGAGGCTCGCTCTCTCTTCTTCTTTTTCTTTTTTGGAAGGGTAGTTATGTGTAGTGGTGTGCAAAAAAATTAGACATCCCGCACCAACTCAGCTTGAGTTAGACTGGTTAAGTGATAAAATTAACTGAATTGATGCGAAATGTCTAATTTTTTTACACACTTTTATACATAACCACCATTTCAAAAAAAATAAAATAAAAAAATCAAACCAATACAGCCTACCAATATAACAGGGAGTATGCATTGCTACAGTACATATGGCTCTCTTTTTTTTTGGTCGTTTTTGCCCTTGTTGCCTGTTCAGTGAAACACTCTCATCTGCTTTAACATTGTGGACTATTTTGTAAATTGCTCCCAAAGTGAGAGCTGTGTTTGTTTGTTTTTTTTATTATTTTTAGTACCTTTTTTAACTGCTTGATTCACAAAGTGTGAACGACAACCGTCCACGGCTTCTTTTTGTCTCGGAAAGGGCAAGGACCTTCTTGGGAAGCCACTTTCTTGTATTTTTTTTATTTTTTATTTTGCTTTGGAGAATGGATGAGCGTCTGGCTTGCAAAATCTTCTCTCGCGGTTCAACAATCGAATCGAACAATCACCGAATCTTATCTCTCAGTAGCGTCTCTTTCTCTCTCTGGACGACGATGGTGGTGAGAAACCCTATCGGAGAAGAGTTGCTTCTCTTTATTTTGTCTCTATGAATGTGTCTTGTTATTCACTTTCGTTCAGTTTCTTTACATAATCTGACTTCGTGTTGTAAGAACGGCTGCTTTAGTTTCGGGTTTTCCATTTTTTATTTTCTTTTGCATTCGCATTTTTTTCGCCGGATAAGGGTATGTGGGTTTGGCTTTGTTTTCTCTGGGTTTATCTTTTCTGTTCTCAGTTGTCAGACAAGCTCTTGCTGGTTTTCCTTATTTTGCTGGTTTATCATTCTGTTTTTGTGCTTTATATGTATATTTCTGTAAATATTAATCATGAGTGAGGTTCAACCCCATTTTTTATTTTTTTTAAGAATTAATCAAAAAATTGGCGTGCATTACATATATGTAAACAGGCAAACACAAAATTTGAAACCTTTAATAATTTTGTTTCTATCTTATTTACATTTTATTATTCAAATTAATTATTGTCATACGATCGTATCCCCCTTCTAAATAGTAGATTACTGCTTATATATCTATATATGCATGTGTATGCATCTATTTGCAACTGAAATTATTAGGATTTCATAATTTCTTCAACATGCATTGGTACCATTCTTATTCGTTGATTTTCTTTGGGGGGTTTTAGGGTATTTTAAAATTTTCTCTCTTTCCTATCTAAGCTAATTTATGTGTTTTGAAATTTTTACTGTACAATCCTGTATATATGTGAATTAAGATTAATGCAAATATTAATTTTTTTCCTTATGTACGCCTCTTGGTGTAAATCCCGCATATTCTCGTTCTTATTCAAGAAAGAACTTTAGCTTTTAGGGCATCTCACTAACCATTTCCTCAATTTTCTACTATCTTTTTTTTTCTTCCATTGAAGTTCTTACTTTTCTTAGTAAACCTTGATTTTATTTTATTTTATTTTTTTGTTCATGGATGTTCTCTATTGTGTGAAAAATAGAATATGTGATATCAGTGTTCTAAAATTTTCATTACACAACTGGCTGTAAATTAATAATGCAAGTTTAAGATTGTTTTCAATAGGATCCTGAATTCTTGTGTTGCCCAAGGAAATAAAAGATTCATATCCATGATTCTGTCTGTATTGAATCTTAATGCAAGTTGAAAATATATAGTCATAACTGAGTGTAGGTCCACTAGCTTTTGATGAATATCATTCCTTGGATTCTACATTTCCCTTAATATTGTGATTTTCTTTTGAGTTTTTCTTATAAATGTTTTAAATTATTTTATCTTTGATTTATCATAAATTTGTTGAAATTATTATTATGTCTTGTTTCATTGAAGTCTACAGTTTCATTGGAAAGAAATATCAGCACTTTTGCCTGTTCAATGGTATGCTTTGTGCCTGGGTTTATTTGCATCAATTATAGCTCTTTAGGGGTTATTTTTTGCAAGTGGCTTGAAGAGAGCTTTTCAAATTAAGGTGCATCTTTGCTCAAATTTATAAATTTGTATCAGTATCCAAATGAGATCCATAGTCAGTGTTCATTGGCCTTCTTCCTCAATTATTGCAGGATTTTGGTGATAGTATATTCCTGGACATGGTGGGTTTACGGACAGAATGGACTGTTGGGTTGGCTACTAAAATTTTCAGTTCTTGCAGACATTTATTCATACCAATTCATTTGTTGCCTCTAAATTATTCTTATTCTTAAGATATTATATTCTCCAATGTTAGATTTCTTCTTTGGCTGATTGTGAGTAGTATGTGCTAAAAGTTTTTATATATTGTTTCATTTTCACAATGCTCGTTACTTTGTTCCAGATTATTTTTATTCTTTAGCTACACATCTGATTTGTTTTATCTTTCTAAACATTTGTGCTTTGCATAGAAGAAAATAAAAAACCATAGGGGGAAACAAAGGGTGAACAACTAAATTGGTATGGTTCAAGTCAAAGAGTTAATTCAGATTGGCTGCTTATATAGCTCACTTTGAACATCATGCAAGGAAACTGTTTCAAAGGTTTTTTTTTTTTTCCTCTTCATCTGTGCTATTATTAGCATGATCAAGTTTCTTTTTTTAAGATAAGATTTTTTGTCACTTCCATGCTATTTTGTTGGTATATTTTTGTTAAATCTAAATTTATTTCAACATGTGTCATATTGTAAATTGCTGAGGTGTATCAAGCATGCATTTTTAAGATAGCTATTTGTACATTTATTTAATGTATTTCTCTTCTCATAATTGCTCATCTTCTACTTTTTTCTTTTTTCTTTTTTTAATGTTCCTATCAGTTTGTGTTTTTATTTTTAAGATTATAAGATTGATTGATTTTCTTTTAAATTTTATTATTATTTATAAATTGGGATGGCCCCCATTGAACACCATGTCATTCCCCACCTTCCAAACTGACCACAGCATCACTAGTGGCACCATATTCCAAATTTTCCTCTCCCTCATCTTGAGCTTCACCCCATCCCACCATTGTAGCAAGGCTTCAATACCCAACACACATCCCATCAGGTCACTAATGCAGACCAGACTGTCCTATACTGCATGATAGAATCCTCCTTATCCTCTGATAACTGCAACAATCTTGGAAATTCCTCACTGAGCAATCTATTATTGCACCACTTATCAGACCAAATTTTTTTTCTTTCCCCATTCCCAGTCCTTACTCTTGCATTTGCCAAGTAAAACTCTACCAGCAGTGGGTTATACTTGGCAATACTCAATATACCCTGCCTAATTGGAGACAGGCTTCTTTAATAACTCTGCCAGCAGTGGGTTATCCTTAGCAATACTCAATATATCCTTAGTAAAACTCTACCAAACCCCTTCTTTAATAGACTTCAATTCCAGTTGTTGAATTCAGCTGTTGAAAATAAAGTGCACAAATCACATGGTGTCACACTTTTGGATCATATGATGGCGGAACTTTATTCTAAAAAACTTCCTTTCAATCCATGTAATTTACTTGTTGAGATGAAATTGGATGCACTCTTTACAAATGAATGATATCAATAATAAAACTTGTTTATGATAGGGTATCATTTTTGTGGGTTAAAATGGAATGGGAGCTCAACTTGTTTGGCTAAAAAATATACATTTTCTAAGTGATGGAATCACGCCCCCTTTCTTGTTATGGGCAAGAAGCATATGCCAAAGTTAAGAGATTGCTTTTAGAACAGTTTGAGAGATTGCTTTTAGAAGCATTCATGATGCATAATCAAGGCAGAGGAAATGTCATTTTGGTCTAAAGTCAGTTGTCTTTTTATTTATAAGATTGGAAAGGAAAACTTCTTTGACGACCAAAGTGTGGATTATTTGAGCCATGATACGCATGAGTAAACATAAAAAGCTATAAACCCATGATAAAACAACATAATCCTAATTCTCCACAATACTGAAGTCTCAGAAAATGAGTTTAACCTTCCAGTCCTCAGAAAAAAGAGAGTACCCGAAGTTACAAACATATGAATCTGTAAATGATGGGGCTTGCTTGCATCCTTGTAAGAAGCACTGTTTGTGCGTGTTTTTTTTTTTTTTTGTCAGAAAAAAGTTACCTCTCTTTTGCTCTCTTGTTTGTTGTACTGCAGTTGCTTGAAGCAGCCTGGTGTTTTACAAACATAGCAGCAGGAGAGCCAGAAGAGACTAGAGCTTTGTTGACTGCTTTACCATTGCTCATTGCTCATCTTGGAGGTTGGTGATGGTTTCTGCATTTTCCATTCAATGTGAAAGAATGTAAATGTCTCTTTCTTTTTCTTATCAGAAAAAGCAAACCCTTTTTTTCTTTTTCTTCTTCTTTTTGTGTGTAGTATTTTCTTTCTCCATATCCTCTTCATAAATTAATACCGGAAAGTTGTTATGGCTTTCTGAGACCTAAGAGTGACTGACAGTAATTAAAGATATCAGGTTAAGTACTCTACATTGAAATTGGATTACATAACCAAGTATGTCCATTTTTTTATCATTGAACTACTGTTTTTGTGGAATAGCACTATTATTGAGTTGGGTGAAGTAGTGAAGGTTAGGGTGGAATAGCACTATTATTGAAGTCTCCAAAGTTTGCATTGCTCATTGCTCATCTTGGATTATGTTGTTTTATCATGTACTCCTATAATATAAGAGGGAGTATGCATTGCTACAGTACATATGGCTCTCTTTTTTTTGGTCGTTTCTGCCCTTGTTGCTTGTTCAGTGAAACACCCTCATCTGCTTTAACATTGTGGACTATTTTGTAAATTGCTACCAAAGTGAAAACTGGGTTTGTTTGTTTTTTTTCCCCCTTATATATATATATATATATATTAGTACCTTTTTTAACTGCTTGATTCACAAAGTGTGAACGTCTTTGTCTTGGGAAATGGCAATGACCTTCTTGGGAAGCCAATTTCTTGTATTATTATTATTTTTATTTTGCTCTGGAGAATGGATGAGCGTCTTCTTTGACATGGCTTGCAAAATCTTCTCTCGCGTTTCAACAATCGAATTGAACAATCACCGAATCTTGTCTCCCTATATCTCTCAGTAGCGTCTCTTTCTCTCTCTGGACTATGATGGTGGTGAGAAACCCTATCGGAGATGAGTTGCTTCTCTTTTTTTGTCTCTATGAATGTGACTTGTTATTCACTTTCGTTCTGTTTCTTTACGTAATCGGACTTCGTGTTGTAAGAATAGCTGTTTTAGTTTGGGGTTTTCCATTTTTTATTTTCTTTTGCATTTGCACTTTTTTCGCCGGATAAGGGTTTGTGGGTTTGGCTTTGTTTTCTCTGGGTTTATCTTCTGTTCTCCGTTGTCAGACAAGGTCTTGCAGGTTTTCCTTATTTTGCTGGTTTATCATTCTGTTTTTGTGCTTTATATGTATATTTCTGTAAATATTAATGAGTGAGGTTCAACCTCTTTTTCTTTTTTTTTTAAAGAATAAATCAAAAAATCGGTGTGCATACATGTAAAAAAGCAAACACAAAATGTGAAACCTTTAATAATTTTGTTTCTATCTTATTTACATTTTATTATTCAAATCAATTATTGTCATACGATCGTATCCCCCTTCTAAATAATAGATTACTACTTATATAACTATACATGCATGTGTATGTAATCTATTTGTAACTGAAATTATTAGGATTTCATAATTTCTTCAACATGCAATGGGACCATTCTTATTCGTTGATTTTCTTTGGGGGTTTTAAAATATTTTAAAATTCTCTCTCTTTCCTATCTAAGCTAATTTATGTGTTTTAAAATTTTTACTGCAATCCTGCATATATGTGAATTAAGATTAATGCAAATATTAATTTTTTCCTTGTGTAGTCATCTTGGTGTAAATCTCGCATATTCTCATTCTTATTCAAGAAAGAACTTTAGCTTTTTGGGCATTTCACTAACCATTTCCTCAATTTTCTTCTATCTTAAATTACGAACAAGTTTTGTTACTATTATAATTGAAAAAATAAACAAATAAAAGCACGAATTTTAACTCTCTAAAACAAACACAAGTCTTCAAATGTCTCTCGCTCTTCGTCGGGCTTGTATGTTTCTTTGATACCTGGCATGAAACACTATGAGTTTTGAATGCCTAATAAACGTACATACACCGCGTCCTTTTTTCCTAATCTAATAAATGATAGGAATTACAACAATAGGAGACAATAGGAATTACAACAATAGGGAAAAGAAAGATGATATTTAAGTAAATAACAAAGGTTACAAGGTTACTTGTTAATAGTTTAGAAATTTTCTAAAGAGATTTTATCCTCTCAATCACAAGAATCGGACATAGATTATTCAGTTTGCTTCCTCTTTTGTTACTTTGTAGATCTTACTCCGGATGCTTACCAACAGTTACATATTGCGTAGTGTCAATCGAGGTCCGCAAAAGATACGGTAAAATAAGGACCTTGCCCATTATCTTGTCACACCAAAATCACCTAGGATTCCAAAACAACTACTTCCGCAAGACTTTACCTTTCAAAAGGGAACATGTCTTGCTAACCAATTCAATTTAAACATAATCTTATCTCATAATAATAATGATATGATCGAAACTCCATTAGCCACCCCATTAGGTTCTTCGTTTAGATTAATGTTTCAAATTAGTTAGCATAAACAAAAAAAATATAAATAAATAAATTTGCATAAGTATGAGCATTATCAAAGGACTAAAATAAAGGTATATATATAACCATGGCATATGTAATATCATACCAAAACATAATCATAAACTAATAAGTACATTCATGAAAATAAGAGCATAGAACACTAGTGCAAAAATAAATTTAAGGATTAAAATTGAAAGAACCATTTCAGATTTTTTCCGAACCTGGCCTTTTTATGGTTGGTAGAAAATTTTATTTAGTTTTCAGAACATTTTTCGAAAGTGGGATATCTTTTCTAGATTTTTAGTTCTTCAATAAATACTCCAGCGCTGTCCAGATTTGTTGATCGTTACACAAATTAGATTTTCTTTCAAACCGTTAACTCTTTTTCAATGAAACCAATTTTACTTGAAAGCTAACCCTTTAAGGAAGTTTTTGACATAAAAATTAGGTCAAGAAAAATTTTCTACATTTTTCTAGAATTTTCACATATTGCCTGAAAAGCTGATTCTTTGAGCACAAAGCTTGAAATAAAAGAGAAGGTAAGAAAAGAGGGTAACCAAAGATAATTTTTCACTTGTTTTATAATAAAAACATGCTAAATAGTATATATTAAACTCAAAAATTCAGATTGAAGATGTTCTTTTAGAAATTATGAGAGATAGGTGTAGAAAAAAGATAGTTTTGCACCGATTTAGAGAAAACAAAGGGTGGAATAGGGCTCAATTCTTTTCAATTTTAACACAAGAACACCATTAAAACACATCTGAAAATATTATTTTTAAACTTCTAATAACATGTATTTGAAAAAGAAAAATAAAAGAGAGAGTTGTATTGTGGCTTACTTGAAGTTAGGTGAATTGCATGCACAATTTTCTCCTCTTTTCCTCTCCTCCACTACCAAGGTTCACTCTCTCCCTCTTCTTTCTTACTCTCAACTGAATGTGTTGTGACGACCGGGTCCTTGTTTTCTTTGCTTTCTTTCTTTTTCACTCCATCCACCTTCGGCTTTCGTTAGGTTTGAACGTCCGGAAATAGTTCTCAAAATTTAAGTTCTTGTTCTTGTTTCCGCTCGGTGTTGAATTTCATTTGTTCCCCGGTTTTTGGGGGGGGTGCTCAGTCGATCCGAAGTGCTCGGGGATCGAACCAGAATTTTTTGGGCTGCTGGGCCAGGGCCGCACGTGCGGCGAGGGCTGGACTTTTGAGTGTTGCACACTGCCTAAAAGGCATGTGCGGGGAGAAGGGCCGCATGTGTGGGAAGAGGCGCTCCGCACGTGCAGGGAGAGGCGCCGCACGTGCAACAGACGGGCAGTCCGAAACTTTGTTTTTTTTGTGTCATTTGGCCGAATTTGTATCACATTTAGGGCCTCTCTATCTCACTCTAAACCGTATTTTCTCCTCCTCTCTAGAAAACCCTCACAAAAATACTAAAACACTTTGATTCTTGCTATCCTTGAGTCTAGATCATCATCATCTCTCACAATCTTGAAGATCTAGGACTAGAGCTTCACTTGGTGTGGTTTAATCAAAGCTCTTTCTCATCTTTGAAGTTAGGGTTTCATCTTCTCCTCTTCATCAAACTTTGAGGTAGGGATTTCTTGAGTTATATATACATGTTTTGCATTGTTGTTGTTGATTTGAAAGTTCCCTTGAAGTATTTGTGTTGATTTTGATTTTGTGAATCTAAAATGTGGGGAGTTTTAAAGTGGGTTTATATCTCAATCTTTTTACTAATCTTGGTAGGTTTGCCTATTTATTAACTCAAGAAAGATGGGTTGATAGAGTTTCTTTAAGGGGAATGGGAAATGTTTGATTTTGATGAAAACCCTAGGAAATTGGGAATTTTGGAAAATTAAGGAAATACCTATGAAAAATTCTTGTTTTCTTGTGCCAAGAGAAGAAATGAGAGTAACTTCATCATATGTGTAGTAAAATAGTCATCTACTCGTTACATGAGAAATGAGATGGTATTTTAACATTATTACTAAATGTTTGAACATGTATTGTTGTGAGGTGACAAATGATTGTGCACCATGGAATGTGTGAATTGTAAAATCTTAGAGTTTAATGTTGAAAACATCACATGTAGCCTTGAAGAGGCTAACTTGTTATGAATTGGGCATGATGAGAGAGTGTTGTTGCTATAAATTGATGGCATGGTTATTTTGCAAAATAACATTGAGGAGAAGAAATGAAAAACGTGGTAATTGATATTGTTTTAGAGATATTTGGAAATGGAGTAATACTATGAAGTATGAGAAAGATCTAGGACCCCAATTCCTATCATCCTTCCCAAGTAATATAGGGCAATGATCTGATACATCCCTAGGCAAACCCCACAATGGAAACTTAAACTTCTCCAGCCACTTAGGATCAATTAAGAATCTATCAATCCTACTCCACCTCTCCCCATCAAGTGAATTGCACCATGTAAAGCTTCTCTCTACCGTTGGTAAATCATCCAATTCCATATTTTTCAATTAAGTTACCAAACTTTCTCATCCCCATATCTCTTTTCTATATAGTCCTCTTATCTCAGATAAATGCCTCATTTCATTAAAATCCCCTTCAACACACCAAGGTTTTTGAAAATCATTTTTAATCCTTACAAGTGCATCCCACAACTTACCTCTACTATCAACATCATTGGGTGCGTAAATGTTTGAAATCACACACTCAAAAAGATCAGAAGTCATACCTAAGAGCACTATGAAATGCTTGCCGCAGCAACACTCTTAACACCATGAAAACTTTAGGGTTCCAAATACACAATAAGCCCCCAGCACTCCCCATATATAGTGAATATATATATATATATATATCATATTCACTAGCGCATTCTAAGATTTGTTTTTATGCAAGTATCTTTTTTTATGGATAAATTTGTTACCAACCTCCATGTTGAGTCTCAGCTAACATGGATTGACGATATTTCTCCTTGGCCTAGCTAGTTTACCCAGCCTAATTATAAAACATGTTCATCCATGTTTCTTTCAATAGAATTATGATTATGAAATCCCAACAAAATAGCTCGTGTTTTTTTGTTGATAAAAAAATAATAATAAAATCCCAACAAAAAGAAATAAATAAATAAAATACCCTGCAAGTGTATATCCCACATAATTAGCACACTTAGCCTCCAAAATCATACAAATTCTATCTCATCAGCAAGATAGAGTATTATGACATTACTACCGCACATATTCACTCACACACACACACACACACACACACACACACACATATATATATATATATCATTTCTTATACAGCTATAGGTAGCTGAATAGTTTTGCAATTTATTTTTATTTTTTTGCTTTTTAACTTATTGAAAGAAACAATAAGTTTGCCTTTGACTGTAGGAGGGTAATCCAGCATACTCCAATCTCAGCAACTTGAACTCGATCATATATAGCTGCACACCAAAATATTGATGCAGTCAAAGTAAAACAAAATATACAAAAAAAATTATTGGAAGATGCATGGAGATTTATAATTACAAAAAGCATTTTGAATTTAATCATTTAAGAAAACAAAATTCAAAATTTTTTAATTTTATTACGGACTTTTAGATTTTGCATTTGAGAAGCGATTTGTGAAGAATAAAATAAAAATTCAAATAATTTCTCTTATTGAATTAATATGTACATGTATCTTTTGATTAGTTTTCTTTTTTAGGAAATTTTTAATAAAGGTACTCAAATCATAACATTATGTTTGGATTTTGAATTTTGTTGTGAGGTATCTATTATTTTTTACTAGATGCTTAGATTTATTGTCAGGAGTTTTTTTTATGAAGGGAGAGGACTAGAACGTGTAATGTATATCTTGTGTTATGTGTTTTTTTTTTTTTTACTTTATTTTATGATTGGAATGATTAATTTCTACATTGCATATTTATCAAGAGAAAAAACAAAAAACAAAAGATTAAATAAATTTAGTTTATTTTACTTCATTTTCTTCTTATTTTTTTTTTCATTTTTTTTTTATTTGAATCCACAAATCCCTTCACAAATTCATGATTTTTTAACATAGCCTACAGTAACAGAGTTAACCTGAACTCAAGTTGCACCAAGGTAGCAGAGAGTGTCCTAATAGGAAAAAGGTTTGCTAGCTGCCAATGATTCTATCAATTACCTGTCTAGATATATATAAATATACATTAAAAAGTTGTTAGTGTCAGGAATTTAGCAATATTATAATAGGGTATAGATTATTTGAGTTATTTACAATATATATATATATATATATTTTTTATTTTAAAAATGTATTAGATTATTTAGTGAACCTTTTATTTATGTATTACATAACCAAAATAATTTAAATAAACTAAAAGCAAAATAAGACTATTTAGGGGATGGAAGAGGGAGTGCTTTTTTATTTTTTATTTTTTTGTTATCAACTTTTAGCTTACCAGTTACACCAAACATACCAAATAAAAGGAGCTTCTACAAAACTCCTATTTTGGAGTGCACCACATGCAAGTTAAGTTATTTTTTGTGATTTTAATACAACTTTCAGTCATAAGCAGAAGGACCACAATAAATCATAATTAAATATCACTTTAGATATAACCAATAAATTCTCCGGTTAGACCAAAATAACAATTACAGTAAGTCATAATTAAATTATAGCCAACATTACAACGAGTTATAACCAACACCAAAACACATCATAATCTAATATCACTTGAGGTATTATCAAAAATTTCTTCAGTTATAACCAAAATAACATCTATAATTAATTATAATTAAATAATTATTATTATTATTATTATTATTATTATTATTATTATTTGTTATGATTCTCATACTATTGAGTTATGGCATCTGTGATAATCAAACTCACAAATGACGTAACTTGTATATGGTAGCATTACTCTCTCTATATATATTTTGGACAAATTACGACAGTAGTCCCTGTATTTTACTCCTTGTGTCATTTTAGTTTTTGAACTTTCAATTCGCTTGATTTTGACCCTGAATTTATGATTTTGTTTCAATTTGATCCAATTGATTACAACTCTTAACATTTTTTTTGTAAAAAATAAGCATGTACGTGTCACGTGCCATATTTTTAAGGATAAAATTAAAAACTTATTCAACTCAATTAGTTAACCTCAATCAATTTAGTGATAATTTTCCTTTAAAAAACTAACAATATTATTAATTGGACAAATTAAAATAAATCTAAAATTAGGAATTAAAATTGAGCTAATTGAAAGTGTAGAGGCCAAAATGACACAAGAAGTAAAATATAGGGACCACCGTCTTAATTTGCCTTTTTTTTTTTTTTTATAAAGGAGGACTTATTATATTCAGCTGATTAATCATAACTGGACGTTTAACGTGTTTATTATAAAATTTTCCTGTAAATATTATGAAATTTATGCATATATATTAATAATAAAGGATGATCAACTTACTTTACTCCTATAGCCGCTTAAGGTAGGAGAACTGTACTTCGTCGCAGCGGTGATCATTTTCATCCACAGTTGCGAAATCTAAAATTAGGAATTAAAATTGAGCTAATTGAAAGTGTAGAGACCAAAATGACACAAGAAGTAAAACATAGGGACCACCGTCTTAATTTGCCTTTTTTTTTTTATAAAGGAGGATCAACTTATTATATTCAGCTGATTAATCATAACTGGACGTTTAACGTGTTTATTATAAAATTTTCCTGTAAATATTATGAAATTTATGCATATATATTAATAATAAAGGATGATCAACTTACTTTACTCCTATAGCCGCTTAAGGTAGGAGAACTGTACTTCGTCGCAGCGGTGATCATTTTCATCCACAGTTGCGCATTCCTAAAAGAAAAGAAAGTAAAATACATATAAATAAAAAATACAAATGAAGCACTCCAGTTGAGTAGCCTCTTGTAAATATTCAAAGATAAAAGATTTCATCAATTGACAAAAATAATTAATCGTAGATCAAGTTGAAAAAGAAAGTCTACCTCTCCTTTCAAAAGAAGTCGTTCCTTTAAATACTTATTGAGATCTTCAATTTGAAGGCCATCATTGCCATGTGTACTTACAAATATCTGTGACATGCGTACTTGTCCAAAAGTAAAGTTGTGCATATTCGGACACCTCTTTAGAACAACTCTTTGTAATGATGGCAAATTAAAATTATATTTCGCATTACAGAAACTGTTGAGGTTTGGTAGATCTTTCAGTATTAGCCACTCCAACTTTGGGAATTCAATCACATCATCAATCACTTCCTTGAGCCCATCCTCTGCTGCTGCAATAACTTCTTCCATCACCGGACAAGACTCCAAATAAAGTACTTTGAGTTGTTGAAGAGCCATGGCTGTGGAACATGTGAATAGATTTCTCAAGAGGGAACATTTCTTAATTGTTAGGTATTGTAGGATTTGAAGGCCCAGAATTCCATGGGGATCCTTGTTCCACAAACATGTCAACTGAGGTAATGCATCCAATTCCATCATTCTTACTTCAATTAATGGCCTAACATGTTGTCTTTCTCCAACATTTAGCCCCTCAAGTTGAAAAACCTCTGCCACCTCACTACAATTTCTCACAATTAATTTGTTCAGATTCGCTACGTCCAAGAATTTTAAACATATTTTGCTAGCCTGAACATTCCAAGGATGTATCTCTCTTGAGTTTACACAATTATTGAGAATTAATGTCTCCAACCTTGGAAAAGAAACCTGCAAAGATTCATTTTGGCATCTTGCTTAATAGGCTTGTATATTGGAATTCAACGTCAGTGATGATTGATGAGACATGTTTCTCATATTGATGAGCCAAAATTTTATTTTATGTACGGATTATAAATTTAAGTAAAGATTTTTTGAAAAAAAAAAATGTAAGAGCAATGTCAATAAAATATAAATTAATTTTTTTTTATTTCCCTCTGTCTTTCTAAATTTATATCCAAATGTTCAATATATATATATATATATGTACAGATTTGTTTATTAGATATGATAAATCATGTAAATAATGATTAGCAAGTGACACACGCAATGCGTGTGCAATGTAGATAAGTAAGAATAAAAATAAATAATAAAGAATTTAATATCATAATATGTATGTTGCCTAAGTGGTAAGATTGCTTTTAATGAAACTCAAAGTCTTGGGATCAAACCTTGATCACACGTTTGAATTACAATTTTTTATTTTAGGCTAGATAATGCTGCCACATAGCATGGCAAAGGCTTGACTAAACAAAACAAAAATGAGATACACACATCTCATAAAAGGTAGATCTCACATATATTTGGAGGTGTAAATCCTTATTATTTTAATTTTTCTAACATAATATATGATATTTTCTAAATTTTTGGGATGCGGTCGCCTCCCTCCACACCCCCTAAATCCATCCTTGGGATCTCACCCGTTATATGATATCTACATTTCATTATGTGTTTAGTTTTTGAAGGATTTCTTTATTCCATCTACAAATTAACACTTAACCTTTTGTCTCCTAGAACATTAATTAATTTCTGTTAGTTTTTGTGTTCTTGACATTGATATAACAAGATTTCCCCCTAATAAATATAGCACTAAAGTAGAGAAGATTGAGCTTTAAGCTGTTATTGATTAATTTCTAGTAACAACTCAAGCCAGCATGCATAGTCCATCAATTAATGTAGTTTTAAAATTGGATCAATGGTCTAGATTGAACTTCCAAGAAGTTTCCTAAGATGTTTTGGGCAGGGGCAAGTTGACATTTTCATAATGGTAAAGTTGTGGGAGTTGATCTATGACCTCCTATAATAGGGACTGCTCAATATTTTTGAGGTTTTAGAAGAAATTATAATAGGGATTTTTCCATATTCAAATATTACAACTAGGAGTCATGTAGAAATTGATATCATTTCCCTAAAACCCAAGAGGCATAATTCCAAAGGAAGGCAATTGAGGATTGATGATCGGAAATTGAAATCTAAATTTAAAGTGGGAATAATTTTGGATTGTGAAACAGAATAAAATCATATCAGTCAAAACCAAAAAAACAAAATATGACATCCAATATTTAAATATTTTTTTAATGAACTCCAAATCAAGATTAGGCAAATTACAAATTTGGACATAATTTTAGTCAAATAAAATCATATTAAGATTCATATTCAAAATAAAAACAGTGTTAAATTTAGAATTCATACATATTTTTGTTTGGGTAATATTGTAATTTCCATCGTAGGCCCCTAGCATATCCACCTTGAAATTATTTTACTTTTATTTGGATTTGGATAGAAAGAGAATATTCAAATAAGCTTCAAATTTAAAATTGTAATTGAAAAGGAATTTAAATTTTTTTTGTGTGCATGCTTTCCAATGGCCAAGGATAATAAAATAAATTGGGAAAATCAAACCTGGTGGTTGAACAAGGGTTGTGCTTCAGATCTTGTAGGCCAGTTGTAGAAACTTTTAAGGCTCACCAAATCGTAAAGATGAAGAGTTGTTAATTGAGAGAACACGATGATATCATTATTGGTGGTTCCTTCTTCTTTTTCTTTCTCTGAGACTATCGCTTCCACCTTTGGACAATTATCTACCTCGAATATGTTCAGATTTTGCAGTCGTGGGAGCATATTGAACTGAACCACATGCACCAATTTCTCACAATTAGAAACCGTCATAGCTTCCAGTTGGCAGAAGGACTTTGATTCTTTTTCTGAAGCCATGAGTAATTGCTTGTCCCATATCTCTATTATGTTAGGCAATTTCTGAATATTCAAATACTCCAAGACTGGGAAAGCAACCTGTAAAGTTGTTTTCAATACTTTAGGTTAGTGACTATTACAAAATTGTGGATAAGCAACAATTGATAATTGCAACACTTTCAAGATGCATGCTCTAATCATGTATGAGCTTTTGTTCTTGTGGCTATGTGCAAATGAAGTGCAACAGGCAAGCAAATTCATAATTGCATATCTCCATATTCTTCTTAAATATTTGGAGTATCTAATTATTAACTACAGCACCTTTTGTTGTCAGCTAGTCACATTGTTTTCCATCTTTCATCATTATTTATCTATTTTCCTTTAATAATCTGTGTTCCATAATTTTATTGGATATTTTTTAGATATGGTAAATTATGTTGTTTATTTGAGTATTAGACCTATGAAAAAGAAGAAAATTTTATTTTAAAAATTCACCACATGCCTTGATTAATAAATAAAAAATAAATTATAACCAAACACTACATAAGGTATAACCAGAGATCTCATAAGTCAGAACTAAAATAATGTCATAACTAAAGAAGAAAATTAATCATAACTAAAGAGGAAAATAACATAACTAGGGATACACATGATTTCATGAATCATAACTGAAATAATCATTTTAAATGGTGTGTATTGTAGAATTTTCTGACTTAAAAACACATTAAATTTCACCTAGAATATTGAAATTAAAAACTAATAAAATCTCCTAAATAACAGTATATTTTCTGGTGTCTAGGATTGGTGGTAATGTTTGAGTTTGAATCCCATTTACTATTAGATTTTATAATAGAAATATTAGAAAATAACAATTTAAATATTATAATTCATCCAAAATGATGTGACAGGGCAGTTATGTCTTATATGACTAGATTTGTGATAAATTAAAAATTTACACTTAACAGATCATACCATTATTGTTGATTAAATTGAAAGAACCTTTTTAAGAGTCTCGAAAGTTTTTCATAGCATAAACGTTAGAATTTCGGAAATTTTCAAGCTACTGCGTGTATCACAACTCAATTGACATTTTTCATTGATACAATATATGGCTTTGTATACTGTTGAATTTTAATTGTCCAATTTATTATAATATTTCTCATATTTATAATTAATCTTATATCAATTTTAAAAAATAAAAATAACACAAGCATGCTGGCATAAGTTTTTTGCTAGGTTAATTTACCTATCAACATAAATTTGAACTAGTAATGCGTATTTTTAACATTTAAAATAAAAAATTTAGATTAATGCTTTGGGGCTTCAGCTAAATTTTACTTCGTATAGATTATGGGTAGGGGGCTAGGAGCACATTAGTTTTGTTTAGTAACATATCTAAAAGTAAACCAATCCCTAAAACTTCATTTGGAATACTTGGTGACAAAAAAAATTGATTAATTAAATTTGACGTGGAAATGAAACAATAGAAATAATTGATATTTCTCTTCATTTATAGAGGGAAGGGAGAAAGAGTTTTAAAAATCAAATTTTTGTCCCCAAAATGAAGGGAGAAACATTTAGGGACTAATTTTTGTTAAAAAGTCAAAAAATAGGCTTTTGTATCAAAAATTTAAAAATGTGGTTAATAAATACACTTCAAGAGAAAACAAATTGGTGCATAAGATGTTCACTTTTTTAGACAAATTTTGGTCAAAAAATGATAATAATTCATCCCTAAATATCTAATTTCATCGCTAAACATACAACGACGACACTTTTGACAACTTAAATATTTTGTTCTTAAAAATTAATTTTATTCATAATTTTTTATTTTTAAAATCTTAATTTGTTGTAATTATTTCATGCTTGCCACGGTGTGACCAACCATTTGGTGATTTTTTTAGGGATTAACAATTTTGATTTTTATTGAAAAGACCCTAGCACTGTTTGACTGTATTCCTAATGCATAAAGCATTTTATAATAACTAGATATAATGGATTAAAGCAAATAAAAAGGGTATAGATAAAGCATACCTTTTCATTGAACAAAAATTGTGCCTGGGTAGAAGAACTTCCTTCAGATGTTGACATCTTCTCCACTTTGGGGTAGAAGCTTATGAGCTTGGGTAGATTCCCGAGACACAAATATTTCAACTGACTGAAATTAATTACCTGACTTGAGAGTTCATCTTCATCTTTTTCTTCTTCAATTCCAACTATTGCTTCCATCATCTCACAATTAAATATTCCTAGTCTCTGGAGTCGTGGAAATCCTCTTGCACAGGACAGGGAGAAGAGATATTTCAACCTACAATCTAGAATTGTTAATTGAATTAAATTATTGAAGAATCCTGATGGATTTAGTCGATGACGTTCCATGAAAGACCCCTCTCCACCTCTGTCATGCAGCACCTCTTGTAAACCTTCAATTTTTTCCAAATGTAGCTCTTCAGCTCTCAGCAACAAAACGATAAACTTGTCCATTAAGGAAACACCCACAAGTTTACACGACTTTGAACTAGTGTCAGAAATAGGCATACCAATTATGGAAATACCAATTGATATTTTAAATCTGATGAAGTTTTCAAAGCAGAAGTCCTTGGGCAATAGCGTGACATTTGGTATGTGAATCTCTAAAGTGGTTAATTGCGTCAATTTCCCCAACTCATCAAGATTCACTTTGCTTCTTTCCTCCCTATGCCCAAACTCATAGTCATCTAAAATGTATAATTCTTCCAAGCGAGACAAATTGGATATGACACCTTGTGGAATCTCTGTGAGCTTTTTACAATTTCCCAGATCTAACAACCGAAGACGGGTCAATTGTCCTATCTCTGATGGCAAAACCTCGATATTAGAACCTTGAAGGCTAAGTATTTCAAGGTTATTATTTAGATCCTTGAGTATAGCTATGTCTCCCAACACACAATTATCTAACCATAGCATCCGAAGGTTAACCAAATTTGCAAGAGATAATGGAGGCAACATACAGATTCTATTCAATTCTAAAATTGTAAGTTTCTCCATTCCACTGAAAAACCTATCTGGAACATTAAGCAAAGGATTGATATTCCTTTTCAATTTCATGGCCAAGGTGTGGAGTTGTGGACATACCAAATCATCCGGAAGCTCAAGAGTGTTGTCGAACCTTAATGACATTGCTGAGGAAGATTCGCATGTATCTTTCTCGGGCCACTTTTTTTCACCATGTTTTACTAGAATTTCCTTGCCATCATCTTTCGCAATTGAAAGAGCAACATCTCGAATGACATCATGCACTTTGACAAAGTTTTCATCTTTGCCTTCTAATAACAAACAAGCATCTTTGAGGATATCGACTACTGTAAGTACTCGACGGCTTGCTCTTTTTAGTGTATTTGTGTTTTGTCCAAGCAAACTTCTCGCTATGCAGTGTCTCGCCAACACTTCAATTGAAATATTAGTATCTTCAGGAAAGAAACAACATATCAAGAAGCATGATTTTGCATCACTAGATTCTAACCGATCATAGCTTAACTTTAACGAAGCATACACCTTTGGGTCGATTCCCGCAATATTCTTTAGCATGGAATCTTTGAATTGATCAAGTACATCTTCCCAAACATATTTTTTCTTATCTTTCAATGCGGCTCCAACTGCAAGTATAGCGACCGGCAAACCTCCACACTCTTTACAAACTGCATTAGCTATATCATGGAGTTCAACAGAGTCAACAGAATTTCCCACCTTCATCTTGAATAGGGACCATGCTTCTTTCTCTAATAATACTTGCATTGGAACATAACTATTAACATGCATCTTTTCCAACACACCTCGGATTCGAGACGTTATCACAACTTTGCAACAATTGTTTCCATCAGTGATAGGAATCCCAATTGTCTTCAAGTCCAATTCTTGCCACATATCATCCAATATAATGAGATTTTTCTTCCCATTGTTCAATCTATTCCACAATTGGTTTGCTTTTCCCACTTCAGTTTCCCCTTTTAGTTCCAGATTCAAGCGATCAGCGAGTTGCCCTTGAATATTGCTCACATATGCGTCCTGAGAGACAACTGCCACCACAACTTCATTAAAAAGTCCATTTTTCACTTGTTTGCCAATCTCTTCGACAATTGTCGTCTTACCAACGCCTCCTGTTCCATATATTCCAATCATTTTAACATTGGAATCTTGTAATGCCACCATGATGTTATTGAAAGCCAATTCTCGCGACTCAAAATTTGCATAGTTTGCACTTGATGATGGGAATTGAAGTTCTTGAGCAAATGGCTTAGGATGTGCAACTGTGCTAAAATTGCCACTCTGACTGAGATTTTTTACTTCTTCCATCTTGTTTTCGGCATCCTTGCTTATTCGGTAGTGCGAGATGTAATCTGGACATGAGAATTTAAAGCACTGCATGTTTTCGTCAATAGTATTGTCTTCCTTTATTTTCTGAACTCTTTCTTCCACCTCTGCTAGCCAGTTTGAAACAGGTTCATCAACTTCTTCACCACGAGTAATGGCTTCATCAACTTTTTCTTCGATTTGTTTTTTGTGCTCTTCAAGGTTTTTAATTTCAACTTCCAGTTTCTTCTGCTTCTTCTTGTACTGAAAAACAAAACCAACGTGGAGCACCACTAATTGGATCACGGGCTCAACTATTCTCCCTGCAATTGCCCCTACAATTGAAAATACACCTTGCAGGGCACTCATTTTCAATCCACTTCTTCTCTTTCTTTTTTTTTTTCTTTTTCTTTTTCTTTTGACCTTTTTTTTTTTTTTGCAAACAAATATTGAAGAAGAAACTAGGTTGAGATTCGAATTTCAGAGGATAAAGCTCTCTCAATCTGTATCTGCAGGTAAAACAAAAATTGAGATATCAAAGAAGAGAAATAAAAAGTGAAGATAAAATTCTCACGAAAAAGAAATTAACATTAACTAAGTAGGAAGACTTAATTACCTAAAAGATCTATTTGTAAATGTTATGGTGGTTTAGATCCTATCTAAATTTTTTGAATCAATAAGTACTATTTAGTAAAATTAAGAATATTATCAGTTTTTCCAAATTTATAAAACTAAGAACATTATTAATTTTGCATAATAATGTTCTAGATAATTGTTTCACTAACTGATAAAAAAAACAAAATATGGAATTAAATGGTTTTGCCGTTCTACTTATTGGTTTGATTCAATTATTCAATAAAACTGAGAACATTATCATTTTTTTCAATTTTAAAACTGAGAATATTATCAATTTTTTTCAATTTTAAAGTTTTTATAATTTTTTTTTTCAGTTTTGCACATCAATATTTCATCGTCATACTCCCTTTATAGACACAAAATTTTCAGTTTTGCACAAAAAACATAATTTAGTTTTTTCAATTTTTTTAAAAATATATATATATATTGCATATAATTTAATATATATATATATATCCAGTTTTAATTTTTGAAAGTCAAATCATCATGTTCCTTTATAGATAATCATAAATGATGAACAATCATTATTCGATGAGCAATTCTGATTATTAAAAATTTAATGGACTTGAAGGTCTAAAGAATCTTAATTAGGACTTAATGGAATATAAATTTATAAATCAAAACTTGTGTGTAAATGTCCAAAGTAGAAAAAAGAAAACTGATAGGGTTATTATTCTGCTTAATCTGCTTAAAAGAAAAAAATTACCAAAAAATCATACTGACCGTTTATTTCTTTTTAAAAAACAAATGATGTTGTTGTGAGGTTAAAAATGTCTAATTAACTTTTTTTTTCTTTTTTTTTATAGACGGTTTACTCGGCAAACATTAAAATATAGGTAAAATATAACTATAATTCATTCAAATTTCAACCCCTTTTTTTTTTTTTTTCATTTCTAATCTCTAATTAAATTCATGGTTTAAGCAGTCTTAAAATATAGATTAATAATACTAATGCCTTGTTTGGCAGAACTTCTCTGAATATTTTTTTGACCAAACCAAATCAAGTCAAACTTTAAGACTCATTAAATAGGATCAGTTATATTTTTTTCTATGCCCATTTCTTAAAATTATTTTTAATTTGTTTAAACAAAAACAAAAGTCAGGTCACTTCGCTTGTTTTTCAAAATTTATTTTCTACATTTTTTTGAAACGAAATATAAACTATTTTGATTGAAATAAATACCAAAACATATTTGGTTCAAAAAAAAAAAAAAAACATATGAATCAATGAACACTCAACATTTTCTAATCCTTTTGAATTGGGAAAATCTCTGTTTTTTTTATTTTTTGAAAATTATCTGAAAGTTATATGTTTTTTATATTTTTCATTTTTAGTGATTTTTTTTAGATACACTTAATGTAAATGTACTTAAAATGAAAAATATTTTTTAAAAAAATACATAAAAAAAAAATCACTAAAGACAAAAAATAAAAATAATACTAATAAATATTTTTTATTTTTAGTAATTTTTTAAATTTTCTTTACAAATATTTTACTATTTAGAAGCCAGTAGATTAGATGTATCTAAAAATTAATTTGACAAAATTTATAAATAAATAAAAAATATTAAAGACAAAAAATGCCAAAAACAAAAATATTAAAAATTAATTTTGAAAATTGAAAACTAAACAAGGTGTAAGTTTATAAATATAATAATCACTAGGGTTAGTAATGGCAAAATATAATAATATTTGGTGGCAAAATTATAATTTTAATAAGAGAAATGTTTGAGAGCTCTAGAGAGAAAGCTCTAATAGCTCTAATTTGTGTGTAGGTCCTATCTGATATGATATTTTGATTTTTTATTATTTTTTTTAATTTTTACATCACTAGAATGCAATTAAAACTCTAATTTTAAGGGGTTGTAATCACTACAATTTTCATAATTATCATAGAATTGGAAAGTCACTTCTCCCCACTCTCCGCGACTTCAGCAACAAAGTGGACTTTCAATAGATGCACTTAAGGTAGAAATCCCTCTAAAAAATATTACCAAACAAAGGTATGTTCTGTACGACTTATGAGCTTAGGGGTCGTTTGAGCCTGATTTTTAAATTTTTTTGGCTATTTTAACCTATTTTAAATAATTTTATTTGAGATAAATTCTTTATTTTTTTTTATAATTTTATGAGAAAAAAAATAAAATGATTATGATTTGGATATAATATTTTATGCTTTTAAATCTTTTTTGTCTTTTTGTAAGCTAATTTAGCCCCAACCAATATCCCAAGCGACCCCTTAGAAGTTCTACCAAATACTCTAAGGTTGTGTTTGGTTTATAGATTTTAGGACGTATTTGAAAAGAAAAAAAAAATGCGTTTGAAATTATGTAAGATATAGGTATATTTTATTTATATTTCACATATTTTTTTCATTTTATTTTTCAAATTCCTTCCTAAGTCCTTGAACCAAATGCAATCCAAAGCTATGTTTGATTCATAGATTAGTGAGGTGATTTGAAAAAAGAAAAAGAAAAAATATGTTAAATATAGCTGAAATATAATTATATTTTATTCATATTTTACCTATTTTTTTTTCCTTTACGAATCTCTCTCTAAATTTATGAACCAAACAGTGTTTAACGTACATTGGGGCTCTCTCTACCAAAAACATATTTTCTTTTCTTTTTTTAATTTAGAAAATATGACAAACACCATAGAAACACTTAAGGAGAGATGAGAAATTGTAGATACTACATAAAGCATTCACAAATATTTGTATGTTAATAACCCTAACAAAATAGAATCCATTTAAGTGTAGGAAAAATTATTGAAAAGCCTCTTTTCAAGAAATATTTTAGTCATAAATATTATGGAAATAAATGTGATCCGATAAATTCTATATATGTATGAAATTGTATTAGAAATCCTTTTATTAAATTAGATGTTTTTCTATGACAGTTTTATCCTTATTTTGGTCAACATACTTATATTTTTATTTTTATTTTTTCTTGATCAGTGAAAATCAATTTTTAATTGTTAGATTACCACCCATAGAAGTTAGCCACCTCATCCTTTACAAAGTCAAGTGCTTGCCTCTTTAATGTAATTCTCTTAAGGAGATTTAAACATAAAAAAATGTTAGAAATCTCAAAAATTCTACCAAAAATTTTACCAAATATCTCACATGGGTGTGGGACCCACGTGGGTCTCACCATGTGAGACATTTTGTAAAACTTTTAGTAAAATTTTTGGGGTTTCTAGCATTATTCTTAAACATATGACCTCCCTTAGAGACTAAGCCCTTAGGAAAGTCATAATAACAAACTAGGCTAGACCCAATTGATTACCATGCTTATATGAAAGACTTCTTTTTTTCTTCTTCTTTTTTTTAATGTATCAAAACTTTAAAATTTTACAACTTTTAAAATATGCATTTGTCTTTTTTTATAAAATTTAGATTTTTTATAGGGCAAAATGTATTTTATCCCCTTGTGATCTAAGGTTAAAACACTTAACCCGTATAGTTCAAAAATAGCCAAAAAGGTCTCATGTGATTTTGAACTGAAGTGCAACCATTAACATAGTTAACTAGAGATGTAAAATGACTTTAACTCTCTCTCTCTCTCTCCTTTAATACACATAGTTTATAATATTTAAACATTAATTCAATTAAAACACAAGCAATTATTAATTCTTAATCATTTATTGTAATTCTTAATCAAAAGTTACTGCTATAGAAGAGGCTTAGGATGTTGATAACCTTAAACTCAACCAATTGGTTCAGAACTTGCAACTTTTGAAGCAAACTTGACTTCAAAGAAAAAACAAAAAGAAATTGTGGCTTTTTCTAGCACTCATGAGGTTGCCAAGAATCCGGAGACTGAAATTTATCTAGAATCCGAAATGACGGCTTTGTTTACCAAACAATTCAAAAAAAAAAAATTTAAGAAAAAGAAGCCTCATTTCAAGGACTCTAGTTCAAAGGATAAGGGTAACAACAAACTCAAATTTGTTCCAAAACCCGAGAAGAAGATAATGAGAGGGCACGGAGTTAAGTGCTATGAATGCCAAGGGTTTGGAAATATGGCACTCGAATGTCCTTCCAAGAAGAACAAAAAAAAAGGTGTCCACAGTGACATGGAATGATGAAAGCAAGTCAGAGCAAGAAGCTAATGAAGCAGAGTCTGGAGAAGATGGTGAAGGTAATATGGCATTCTACGCCAACATTCCTCAAACTAATCCAAGCCCGGTTCGGTTTGCACGTGGTGCCAGTCCCCATCATGTCCCTACTTTTGATGGGAGTAACTATATGTTTTGGAAGTGTCGGATGATGGTCTTTCTTAGAGCTTGGAATCCTGAAGGTTGGCGTACAATTGAGGAAAATATTGAAGTGCCATTTGTGATTGATCCTATATCAAATCAGAAAGTCACCAAGCCAATTGGTTGGAGTGATGGTGAAAGAGTTGACATAGAGAGTAGTGAGCGAGTCCTAAATACTATTCGAGAATCTCTTTCTGAAGTAGAGCTACAACGCATTGCTCATTGTGTAAATGCTAACGATGCTTGGGATGTTCTAATGCAACTTCATGAAAGAACAGAGTCATCTTCAGAAGCATCTAGCTTTCCTCGCATAAATGCTCTAGTTGCTCGGTTGGATGGTCCCAAGGAGAGAGAGAATCAAAGGGAAGAAGTGCCTTCTCCTAAGAAAGTCATCGATGATGAATCATCTGAAAGTGAAGATGAACTAGATAGAGAAGAGCTTCAACAAGCTTATGAAAGTTTATACACAATCTCTCAACTTATCAAAGTCAAATGACAAACTCCCTATCAAACTCAATGCTTGTAAGATTGAGAATGTCAAACTAGAGAAGGAGATTACCAAAGCTAGGAATGATGCCATCAAGATCTCTACTGATTGAGAAGCTCTCTG